GCGCGTTGATACCCCTTCCTGTCAGGATCCTACGCTTCGCTCCTCAGGACAGTTGATCCGCCCTGCAATTCCGAGCCTGTCCATTTTTTATTTTTAATTCGACACTTTGAGTTTTTCCGGCGACTACACGATTTTTCGCAGCTACAGTGTACTTTTCCGCAAACACAGTGTTTTCTTCATCGTTTCAGAGAATTTTCAGTGATTCTTTTTTGTTATTTAGTGATAAGCCAAAAAAAAAAAAACCTCTTAGCGATGCTGCAAGATATAGACGGTTGGTTGGTAAATTAAATTACCTTACAGTGACAAGACCTGACATTTCCTTTTCAGTGAGTGTTGTGAGTCAGTTTATAGATTCTCCGTGTGATAGTCATTGGGATGCAGTTGTTCGCATTCTTCGGTATATAAAATCAGCTCCAGGCAAAGGTTTATTGTTTGAGGATCGAGGCCATGAGCAGATCGTTGGATACTCAGATGCTGATTGGGCAGGATCACCTTCTGATAGACGTTCTACGTCTGGATATTGTGTCTTGGTAGGAGGAAATTTGGTGTCCTGGAAGAGCAAGAAACAGAATGTGGTTGCTCGGTCTAGTGCAGAAGCAGAATATCGAGCGATGGCTATGGCGACATGTGAGCTAATTTGGATCAAACAGTTGCTCAAGGAGTTGAAATTTGGTGAGATTAGTCAGATGGGACTTATGTGTGATAATCAAGCTGCTCTTCATATTGCGTCAACTCTAGTGTTCAATGAGAGAACTAAACACATTGAGATTGACTGTCACTTTGTTAGAGAAAAGATACTCTCGGGAGATATTGCTACAAAGTTTGTGAAGTCGAATGATCAGCTTGCAGATATTTTCACCAAGTCCCTCACTGGTCCTCGTATTAACTACATATGTAACAAGCTCGGTACATATGATTTATATGCACCAGCTTGAGGGGGAGTGTTAGAATAGTCATGTAAATAGGAGTAAATAAATAACCCTAATCCAATATATATTAGGAGTAGGACATGTTATGTGTGTATATATATAGGGCTCATTGTAACATATGTCAATACATCAATAATATATTTTCTCCCGTGCTTTCTCACAGTTAGCATCAAGTAACGTGGTTCATCCAAATCACAAATGGTAAAAGGCAAAATTTGGAATAATGAGCTTAATGAAATAAAAGAACACTTCTCAACATATGCAGGTATTGACATTTTCTGAAAGGAGTTCAATACACATGTTTCCAAGGTAACGATCAGTAGATATGTAATCAATAAGAGATCGCAGATATGAATCAGAGCTATCACTCCAGAAACCTTTGCTGGAAGCTTTCAATCGTTTTCTTTTCACGTATAGCTATTCCTTTTAAGACCTTCTGTAATAAGCATCTTGCTTTATGCACATCAGCACATGAAGCCACTATATGCTTGTAATTGCTTTCCTTCTGTAGATACTAGCATTTAATAACAATCTATTACTATATCTGGCAAGTAGACCGGCCCACTTGGTCACTGGCCCGTGGAGAGGGCCTGACCTCAACCCACGATCCATAACCACTATGCGAGCCGCTAGTGGGCCGGTTGAAGCTTCTTCTTTTTTTTAAAGTTTATTCTACTTTTCTTCTTTATATGCCTTTAACATCATATTTAGGTAATGTTGAATAAAATATAAAAATGAAGAAGAAGAATATTTGAGGAACAAATCGTAAATCTTAAGCATGTCATTGTATTGAGGAAATAATTCAAGTTTTTATTGCCAAACTTAAGTAAGCACCTTAAGAATCTCTTTGGCCTCCTTTTTTGACTTTCCAGAAACCACCAACTTCCACAAACAAGTATTGTATAGATTGCTTGTATGACCTGTAAGAAGAACCAATATTCTTTATCATCAAATCTTATCCCAACACCCCATGTACCAAGTAATTATAAATTGGAGAAATTCAATAGGTGAACTCACATTCTGTTTGTCTCCATAGAAGATATGCCTGAAGAACCTCCATTGATGCACAGCTGATAACTCGTGAATGGAATGATGGAGACACACTTAACTCCTTTTGAGAAAAGAACTCTTTCCATTTGGTTACAAATGTAGATGAGAAGAAAGACACAATAATGGAGAGTATTTTGCTGCACAGTCACATTTCTTGTCAGCTAAGGAAAACCATGAGCAGCTTCATCTCAAATGCGGAAACTAGGACTATTTTACATATCTCACTTTTGTTTGTCATCCAGATTAAAACAAGAGGGACATTTTGTATCTAATAATCCATTGTACTTAATCCAGTTATGTTTCTCTAAAAACAAAAACATATTTCTAGTGTTGTCATCTTATAGTCAGAAGACAAATGAGTGGACAGCAAAGGTGACCATGCCTTGAGATTTTCCTAGTGCCTTCGTAAGGAAAGTTTTGTGACCAATCTCTAATTTTCCCTAATACTGTTTATTATGCATCTACAACAAGTAACTTTAGCGAGTTGGAGATGATTTTCCTTCTCATTAGCTAAGTCTAAGAAATGGAAAAAAATATATATATAACTCTGAAGATGAGATGGATAGACATATCAAATAGATCAGTTAAATCATGCTAAAGAAGGGGAATGAAAAGACGGGGCAGACCAGTGTAGAAATGAGTGGTTAAGAGAAAGATAGAGAAAGGGGAAGAGAGAGAGTGGATAAATTATCCAAGAGGTATTGACGAATCATAATGGAGGAAATCAATAAAAGATAAGAGGAATATCAGTAATGGATAGCTAGCAGATTCTAAAATTCACCCTTAAATGCCTCATGATACTTTCAAGTCAAAGAAAGGATGGATTATCCAACAGAATCCATAAGCATAATTGAATTACTTTCACTGTTAAAGACTGGTTATATAATAACTCTATTACAGTTCCTCAGTGCCAGGTCAAATGTGTCAACTAATTTTCAAATAATGACAGGTTGTTGGCAAGTTTTTTTTTTTTTTAAG